GATCTAGAGGGCCCAAGTTGACCCATGTCTGTGCTAGAATAAACTTGAAGGACTGTGGGGAGGGAATGGGGGAAGAGGGCAGAGTAGTAGATATAGGGCATGATAGGTATGGGATCTATTTGTGGGTGCGTACACTGTACAGCTAATTAGACTTCTCTGCCAAAGAGTGCTGCTGCATCACTGAACTACAAATCCCATAATCCCATTGTATTGAGAAATGGCTGTTAATGTGGTGTCACAAAAAAAACAACTCCCAAGTCTAGAATTTTGAAAGAAAGGAAGACATTATTTTCTGTTGCACAAGTGAGGAGCCCACTTGATGTTCCGGTGCACAAAAGCAGGTAGCTCAATTTACAGTTACAAGCAATACTAGTATAAAATGTTGTCGACGGCTTTCATGGCCGGAATCACTGGGTTGCTGTGAATTTTCCAGGCTGTATGGCCATGTTCCAGGAGCATTCTCGGTTGGAGCATGTAAGAAATCAGTTAATGTGTGTGCGTCAACTGTAAAATAAGATGCATGGAGCTGATTAGTTGGGCCAATCCGGGGGAGCTGGCTGAGCCTGGGACTTTTGGATACTGTAACATTTTTCAGGATTGAGCTATGCAGGTGCTCAGAGAGGAGAGAGAAGAAGAGAGAGGCAGAGTTTGGAGTGTGCTCTTACTTCATGTGCTGCTGGAGGGAGATTCTCCACATGCACAAAGAAAGACCATATTAAATCTCTCATAAAAGGACATTATGTGAATAGATGCCACTGTTCATATGTTGCTCTGAACTACGAAGAGTAAACTACTTTCACCCACATCTATGGCAGGCATCCTCAGATGTTGTGAGTACAGAAAGGAGGAAACCATGAAAATGAAGAAAATCTGGCTACCGGTATTAAAAAAAACTCTAAAATTACAACAGCAAAACAACAGAGAGGAAACAATCAGGGGATCTAATCACCTCTCAACAAAAGTTTGCCCCAGGCACTAACAAGCCACACCAAACAACTGCCAGGCCATCAAATGCTAATCAGGGTGGTCAGTTGAAACATTCATACCTAGCTCCAACAGACAAGAGTTCTTTGTCCCACCCTGGTCATTCCACAGATATATAAACCCATTTTCCTAGTTCCAACAGACCTCAATACCTCCGAGAATGCTTGCCATAGATGCAGGCGAAACGTCAGGAGAGAATGCCTCTAGGACTTGGCCATATAGCCCGAAAAAACCTACAACAACCCGTTGTGAGTACTGTTGGAAATTAGGGCCAGCTAACACCTCCCAAATGATTCTCCCAGGTAGGAAGCAGCCAGGCTTTGAAGCTGCAAGGCCATTCAGCATTAATCAAGGTGGCCAATTACAACATTCACACTTGCCTCAGGCAGACAAGAGTTCTTTCTCCCACCATGGACCTTCCACAGATATATAAACCCCACTTGCCTAGTTTCCAACAGACCTCACAACCTCTGAGGATGCCTGCCATAGATGTGGGCGAAACATCATGAGAGAATGCTTCTGTACATGAACATACAGCCCAGAAAACCCACAGCAACCCAATACCCTTGCAAAGCATGTTTACAGAAGTAAAATTCTTGTTAGTTTGTTAATTAACCCAATTTATCTATTGCATACATCTGTCGGCCATGTCTTATCTACTGCAGGATGTTCCCAACCTGTTATCGGTTCCCACCGCCTATTGACCTTTACACTATCTTTTTTTAAAAAAAAAAAATTCCTTACATAGGCTTAGAAAACTGGATTAATTCTGCAGTGTAGATGCTCCCTATGATAGACAAACCAATTAAACATGCTTGTGGGTCTGAACGGAGATAAGAGGAATTCGTGGCAAGCCAGGAGAGAGAAGATGTGCTGGATTTGGGTGATCCAGAAATCTTGAATATACTAAGAAGAGGCGGAAAAAGAGAGTAAGAGTGTGCTTGGGTGAAAAGAAAGGGATGGGTGAGAAACTAGAGTGGTTTGAGATTTATTCTAAGCTTTTTGTTTTGCAGCACAGTGTTTTCTGCAACACAGGAAATGTTGTTATGATTGGTATCAATAGGATTGGCATATAATACAATCGTGTTGGGCAGATTTCTGTTGGCTTTAGAGCAGGCATGGGCAAACTTCAGCCCTCCAGGTGTTTTGGACTTCAACTCCCACAATTCCTAACAGCTGGTAGGCTGTTAGGAATTGTGGGAGTTGAAGTCCAAAACACCTGGAGGGCCCAAGTTTGCCCATGCCTGCTTTAGAGAGTAAACACATTAAATCCGTTGTTGAACGGCGAGTCGACATGTAGGAAAACACAGCTAACCATTGTTGCACTTTGGTTGCATTTAACAGTGGGGTTTGGGCTTTTCTTCATTACTATTCTATTTTAATATGGCTATTTAATTGTTATATAACAGTGTACATTGTAGGGTTTAATTACACATTTTGGTGCCTCAAATGTTAGCCCTGTGTTTGTGTATATTTGACCTCCAGATTCTAAAAATGGCACCAGTTTCCCATCAGCTCTAGTTTTAAAGAAACAGAATATTTATTTATTTATTTATCATGTCAGAAGCAGATTGAGAATACAGTTACAATGTATACAAAATAAAGCCACAAACAAAGTTAAAAACTTGGGATTATGCTAAATGTCTTTTGACCAGAAGCTGGCCACTTGGAGTGCCTCTGGAGTGCCCGTGAGAAGGTTCTCCATTGTGATATGTGTATTGTATCCAAATTTGGTGTCAATTTGTCCAGTAGCTTTTGAGTTATATTAATCCCACAAACGAACATTACATTTTTATTTATATAGATTATTAATAATATTACATGTAATATAACTATATAATTATAGTATCATATTATTATTAGTAATATTGTATTGTCGAAGGCTTTCATGGCTGGAATCACTCAGTTCTTGTGGGTTTTTTTGGGCTATATGGCCATGTTCTAGAGCAGGGGTAGGGAACCTTTGGCCCTCCAGCTGTGGTGGACTTCAACTCCCACAATTCCTTGAGGCTCGGCATTGGGCCAAGGTAAGCCTTTGGGGCGAATGCCGAGCCTCAAGGAATTGTGGGAGTTGAAGTCCACCACAGCTGGAGGGCCAAAGGTTCCCTACCCCTGTTCTAGAGGCATTTCTCTTGACGTTTCGCCTGCATCTATGGCAAGCATCCTCAGAGGTGACCTCACCTCTGAGGATGCTTGCCATAGATGCAGGCGAAACGTCAGGAGAAATGCCTCTAGAACATGGCCATATAGCCCGAAAAAACCCACAAGAACTGAATATTATATTGCATTACATTGTAATATTATAAATATTATATGTATATACAATATATTATTACATTTACATTACATTTTTATTTATATAGGTTGCATTACATTATAATATTATCAACATTACCAGTACATCAATCTTGGAAGACAATCCTACTCAGACAACGTGGGATCGCCTAAGTAAGTAAGTAAGTTTAAAAAAAAAGTATCTATATAAATAAAAATGTAATGTTCGTTTGTAGGATTAAAAGAACTCAAAAACCACTGGACGAATTGACACCAAATTTGGACACAAGACACCTAACAACCTAATGTATGTCCTTCACTTAAAAAAAAGTTTGATTTTGTCATTTGAGAGCTGTAGTTGCTGGGATTTATAGATCACCTACAATCAAAGAGCATTCTGAACCGCACCAACGATGGAATTGAACCAAACTTGGCACACAGAACTCCCATGACCAACAGAAAGTACTGGAAGGGTTTGGTGGGCAGTGTCCTTTGGTTTGGGAGTTGTAGTTCACCTACATCCAGAGATCACTGTGGACTCAAACAATGATGGATCTGGACCAAACTCTACACGAATACTCAATATGCTCTAATGTGAACACTGGTGGAGTTTGGGGAAAATATAATCTTCCCATTTGGGAGTTGTAGTTGCTGAGATTTATAGTTCACCTACTGAGCATTCTGAACCCCACCAATGATAGAAATGGGCCAAACCTCCCACACAGAACCCCCAAGTGGGCCACAGCAACGCGTGGCAGGGGATGGCTAGTATGTATATACAATATATTATATTATTAGCATAACACAGTATTATATAGCCATCCTCTGCCATGCGTTGCTGTGGCCCAGTCTGTGTATATGTGTTTTGTGTGTGTGAATATATTTGTGTTTGTGTATATATATGTTGTTTTGCACATGCTTTCTAATGTTTGTTTTTTGGCTTTTTAAGTCTCTTCTGTTGTGTTTTTCGGTGATTTTATGACTGATGGTCACTTGTTGGCCTGATAGGTGTCTCATGTCCAAAATTGGATTTCAATTCGTCCAGTGGTTTTTGAGTTATGTTAATCCCACAAACGAACATTTTTTATTTATATAGATATAGATATAGATACACACACAAACACACACACACACTACTACTACTACTACTACTATTACATTATATATTACAATATTCGTGTTAAGGTAAAGTCTAGTCTTGTCTGACTCTAGGGAGTCTTGCTCATTTCCATTTTTCCAAGCCGAAGAGCCAGCGTTGTCCCTAGACGCCTCCAAGGTCATGTGGCCGGCATGACTGTATGGAGTGCCGTTCCCTTCCCGTTGAAGCAGTACCTATTGATCTACTCACACTTGCATGTTTTTGAACTGCTAGGTTGGCAGAAGCTGGGCCTAACAACGGGAGCTCACCCCACTCCCAAGATTGGAATGCAGGCTTGGGGGCTTCTGGGAACTGTAGTCCAAAGGCTGTTAGGAATTGTGGGAGTTGAAGTCCAAAACACTGGAGGGACCAATGTTGGCCCATGCCTGCTAAAGCAAAAACAAGGGCTGCATCTACACTGTAGAATTACTTTTTGTGCCAAGCACGTTCTTGGGTTGTTTTGAGGAGAGCCTTGAGTTAATCCCCATGTCAGCCAATGCTGGGAAAATCCCATGTGATAAATATTGTACAGGGAAGAGGGGAGCAAAAACCGAAAGGGAAACTGCGGTCTCGTGACGCGCAGCCTTTAAGTTTGGACTACAGTAAACAACCCATTCACACGGTCGGCGGGCTTCGAGAGGAGCGTTCCTGGTCCCAGCTGAGCAAGTATGCGCTTTGCCTTCTCTCTGGGCCCCCTTTCCACGCATGAAAGCGTCTTTGGGGCTTGGTTTGTCCTTTGGGAAGGAGGGGGAGACTCTTGAAAAAAGACAAAACTAGGTTTTCAGAATATAGGTATGGCTACATATATATATAGTTTAAGAAAATTAAGATCTGATTATATATATATTAAAATTAATATATATGTATTAAAAGTATATATATTAATAGGTGTTATATATATTAAAATTAAATTAAAATAAAGACAATTAAGATTATATATTAAAATTAATATATATAAATTTATATAAATTTAAGAAAATTAAGATCTGATTATATATATTAAAATTATATATTAATAGATGTTATATATATTAAAATTAAATTAAAATAAAGAAAATTAAGATTATATATATTAAAATTAATATATAAAAATTTATATAAATTTAAGAAAATTAAGGTCTGATTATATATATATATATTAAAATTATATATATGTTATATATATATATATAAATTAAAATAAAGAAAATTAAGAATATATATATATATATATATATATATATATATATGATACATTGTTATATGTTGATTGTGATTTTTTAAATGAAACATGGAAAGGCACAGATTCAAGAAATGGAAGAAAACATGTTCAGGAAATAGAATGTCTTTCTCTTCTTCTCGCTCTGTTTCCTTCCCTGCTGTAGCTCTTGAATTAGGATGAACACACCACTAAACCAAACATTGTTTCCCTGGTAAACAAAAACAACTTCATGTTTTGGATGCAATGGGACTGAGTTTATTTGTTGTGGGATCGCTGCCATTTAAATATTTATTCTTTGTTAACGTTTATATCCCATCTTACCATTGAAGTACACCAGGCTGAGAAATGGGTACATGGCTCAATGGAGTTTCATGGCTGAAGGGGCATCTATACTTTTGAATTAATGCAGTTTGACACCATTTTATCTGCCATGGCTCACACCTATGGAATCTGCAATCTGCGGTTTGGAGAGGCATTAGCAAGCAGTCTTTGGCAGAGAAGGCTAAAGACCTTGTAAAGCTCCCATGATTCCATAGCACTGAGCCATGGCAGCTAAAGTGGTGTGAAACTGCATTAATTCAACAGTGCAGATGCACCCATAGTAGTTGAACCTATGTCTCAGTCCATAGCATATTTAAATATGGTAAATAAATAAATAAATAGCTGAGAATCACTCTCATTGGGTTGCTGTGAGTTGTATCGCCATGTTCCAGAAACATTCTCTCCAGACATTTCACACACATCTATGGCAGGCATCCTCAGAGGTTGTGAGATCTGTTGGAAACTAGGCAAGTGAGGTTTATATATCTGTGGAATGTCCAGGGTGGGAGAAAAAACTCTTCTCTGCTTGAGGCAAGTGTGAATGTTGCCATTGTCCACCTTGATTAGCATTGAATGGACTTGCAGCTTCAAAGCCTGGCTGCTTCCTGCTTGGGGGAATCCTTTGTTGGGAGGTGTTAGCTGCCCTGATTGTTTCCTGTCTGAATTTCCCCTGCTTTTTGAGTGTTGCTCTTTATTCTCTGTCCTGATTTTAGAGTTTCTTAATACTGGTAGCCATATTTTGTTAATTTTCATGGTTTCCTCCTTTCTGTTGAGATTGTCCACATGTTTGTGGATTTCAATGGCTTCTCTGTGTCGTCTAACACAACATTCACACTTGCCTCTAACAGACAAGAGTCCTTTCTCCCACCTTGGGCCTTCCACAAATATATAAACCTCACTTGCCTAGTTTCCAATAGACCTCCCAACCTCTGAGGATGCCTGCTATAGATGTGGGAGAAATGTCGGGAGAGAATGCTTCTGGAAAATGGACATACAGCCCAAAAAACACACAACAACCCATTCCATACAACCCGGAAAACTCACAGCAACTCAGTCATGAAAGCCTTTGACAACACATCACTTTTATTAACCATTTGTTTACTTCTGAGTTAGCAGGCATGGGAACGGTATTACTAATTTATAACTCCTAATTCAGAACTTTCACTCCTTAATTTGGATTTTTAAAATGTGTCTACCACAATGTGGAGAAAAGTGAGATTCTCCCTATTCAGAAAGTGTTAATCAGGTTGAAATCTGTAAGCTTGATTGGTATGTTGTGCCTTTTTTATAATTATTGAAGAATTACGTTAATAATGTGGTTTGATACTGAAGCAAATGTATTTCTAATATCTTCTCTATACTGCGTCATGAAAATCACGAGTGTTTACAGTCTTTTGCAGAGCTTCCTGTATCAAACGAGTTTTTCAAAGATGTACGATTTAATAGTTGAACATGGGAGGTTTCTCACACATATAAAATTGACAGGAAAGGTTCATCAACTCAGTCCTGCAGTTTAAAGTACTAACCAAAAGAGAAACATTTTTGTATAGCTCCCAGTGCTCAGTGGTAACTATTTGCATGAGGTTAAGTGGAAACATATGCTTTGAAAAGCAGAGAAACTTATTTCTAAAGGAGGTAAAAGCAAAAGTGCATCTTTTCTACCGCTAAAGGATGTTTGACAGTATTAGCGTTTCCATCTGGAGGTATTGCTGTAACCACAAGACATCTGATGAAGAAATAATGTATTCTGCTTTATCTGTAGTGAGATGGTGGTAACCAAGCATCTGGTCTTAGAGAAGCATTTCTCAGGTTGGGGGTTGGGACACCAAGGGGGTTGCCAAAGACCAGTATTTTCTGTTGGTCAGGGGGTTCTTTGTGGGAAGTTTGGCCCAATTCTATCATTGGTGGGGTTCAGAATGCTCTTTGATTGTAGGTGAACTATAAATCCCAGCAACTACAAATGTCAAGGTTTATTTTCCCAAACTCCACCAGTGTTCACATTTGGGCATATTGACGATTTGTGCCAAGTTTGGTCCAGATCCATCATTATTTAAGTCCCCATTGCTCTCTGGATGTAGGTGAACTACAACTCCAAAACTCAAGGTCAATGCCCACCAAACCCTTCCAGTATTTTTTCTGTTGGTCATGGGAGTTCTGTGTGTTAAATTTGGCTCAGTTCCATAGTTGGTGGACTTCAGACAATGTGGACAATGCTCTTTGATTATAGGTTTACTATAAATCCCAGCAACTACAATTCCAAAATGTCTGGGTCTATTTCCCCCAAACTCCATCAGTGTTCACATTTGGGCATATTGAGTATTTGTGCCAAGTTTGGTCCAGGTCCATCATTGTTTGAGTCCACAGTGCTCTCCGAATGGAGGTAAACCACAACTCCAAAACGCAAGGCCAATGCCCACCAAACACTTTTTTTTGTTGGTCATGGGAGTTCTGTGTGCCAAGTTTGGTTCAGTTCCATCATAGGTGGAGTTCAGAATGCTCTTTGATTGTAGGTGAACTATAAATCCCAGCAACTACAACTCCCAAATGACAAAATCACTCCCCTTCCCCCAACCCCTCCAGTATTCAAATTTGTATCGGGTATTTGTGCCAAATGTGGTCCAGTGAATGAAAATACTGCATATTGGATATTTACATTATTATTCACAACAGTAGCAAAATTACAGTTATGAAGTAGCAACAAAAATAATTTTATGGTTGGGGGTCACCACCACATGAGGAACTGGATTAAGGGGTCGCAGTATATTAGGAAGGTTGAGAACTATTGTACCAGTGGGTCAGATTGCAGTTGGTGCTATCCCATAATACATCATGACGGCTGCCAATGTCATGAATGGCATTACAAGATGATTATAAATAACCTGGCCTGATCAAATCATCATCATGACATGATGAAATCTCTTTTTTTTGATAGGTTCCAGAATTGTCTCTTGCATATTCATCTGAGTGTCGTTTATAAAGGTCACTGCGAGCTAAGGAGACAGTACTTCTAGGAGTCCTGACCAAACTTTTACAATCTTGTCTGCTGTGCTCTGCTTAGGAAAAGTTTCTTCCTTTGGGAGGTGAGTAGTAGGCTTTTTAGCCATTCCATCACCTTTAGATGTTGTCTGTGTTAGGATTTTCTGTTATGTTAGGGAAAACTCCAAAAAAATACAGCAGAGCATGCAAAAATACAATAGTTGAGCATGAATAACTTTTCAATAACTTTAAAGCATAGGTTCTTTTTATTGCAATTTCCAGTATATCTGATTACAGAAAAACATTTAGACAAAGAATGACATTAGACATACAGACATACAGATTTTATGTGACTACATTGGATTTACATTATATGGCTAACAAACAATTGAGAATTACATTTTCAATCACCATTCACACACATATACATGCATTCATCGTCATGCATCCAAATATTACCAGAAGCACCTGTTAGGCTTTTCTGCAGCCTTCCAACGCATAGTTCCAAAACTTCCATAACGCCATAACTTCAAAACTCCAAAATACATCCTTTCCCCAGGCAAAATGCCAAGGACCAGATCTCTGTTTTCCATACAGCAGAACCTGACTCCCTGCACAAAATCTAAGACTGCAAAAGAACACTTCTTCTTCTTCCCTTGAAAAAGTTGAGTAATGCAACTGAAAGCAAAAGTATTCTTCTGGAACATTTGAGTGACTCACAGCATGACTTGCAAATGCAACTCTCAGTGAGTTATTCCATGAAGAGGAGCTCAGAAATGCCCATCTTCTGAATGGTAAGGTTGCAGAATTGAGCCAGGCACATTCTGTCAAGGATTGCAGCAATTCCTATATTTTTTAAAACTTTGCATAAGATCTGCAGCCCTTTCCTCAACGTTCTGCTTTCTGTTTGCAGACTCTTGCATTCACGCACCTTCCTTTCCTCTATCCATTCATGGATCAGCCTTGATCCTTCATCCATTTTCTAGGTCATCCAGTGAGTCTGGAATGTAATTTCGCAGAATTGTGTATTCTTAGAGGACAGTGTCAATACTTGTAAAAAGACAAAACAAAATTGTTCTTTCAAGCCCTTTGTGATGACTGAGCACTCTTTGCAGTTGCAATAATTGGGTTTGCACAGCTCTTTGAAACCTATAGATGACCTTCTAAGGTGTCCCTATCTGCTCTTGGAGAAGCAAAAGCAGTGGTGCAGTTCACAACCAGAGACCCCAAAGTAAGGCATTCCTGAATTGCACAAGGATAGTTATATTAAGCTCTTTTTTCTGCTTTCTATTGTGTTACTCATTAGTAGATGTTGGCAGGAATCCTTTTGGTTAGTCATAAATAGTAGGCCTGGTCAATCCATGGCTCTAAATGGTTTTAAAGTACTTATAAAACTAAAGTTCTGCTGGTGAAAATTTTAGAACTCTAACAAAACTCTCAACATTTTATTATAAATAACAGTTCTTAATTGGTTCTATCATAAAAATCACAAATAATGAAATAATAATTAAATTACAACAGTGGTTCCCAATCTTTTTTTGACCAAGAACCACCTTGACCAGGGGCCACTCTCCAACATTAGTAGCAAAAGGATTTCATATCAGTTTTTGGTCAACTTTAGATTTGGTTTGGTTATTTGGGTTACTGATTCAGAAAATTGCATTGGATAGACCACATCAGTTCGTTTCTGATACTGGACATATGCCATCCAGTAGTTGCCATCTGCTTGCCCACAGAAAACCATATTTAATAATCTAGAGCTAATGTGGTCTATCCAATAGAATTTTCTGAATTTGCACTCCAAATAACCCCAGGAACAGGCCTAAAAAGGAAGACACCAATGTGCCCTCGCTTCCAGGTGCCACGTGGAATGGCTCCGGTGGGTAGTCAGCCTCTCTCCTCCCGACATCCCTGTCGCCTTGGCACTTTAAGAGGGTTTCTTGAGACCAGTCGCTCTCGTTACAATGATATAACAACGGTGAGGCTGTGGGCCATGTTTTAGTTCTTGGGGACCATTGGTGTCCACGGACCACAGGTTGGGAACCACTGGGTTACATGAATAAGGGTATTGGCTCATCTGAGGGGATGGGAATATAATCCTATACCTGAGATGAGAAACTTCAGAAACAGACCTCACAACCTCTGAGGATGCCAGCCATAGGTGTAGGCAAAACATCAGGAGAGAATGCTTCTTGAACATGGCCATACCGCCCGAAAAACTTACAACAACCCAACTTCAGAAACGTTTAACCCTCTAAATATTTTGGCCTATAACTCCTGTCAATACTAAAGGATATGGGAAGTTTTAGTCACGAAGATCTACAGGTTCTTCGCCAATGCAATAAAAGTTTTTTTCTGCTCTCTTGTGTTCCTGCTGCACGGGGCTTGCAGCAAACCCTGTTGAAAATAATCCCTCCATTCCCAACAGGTGATGCCAAGTTATCCGCATTACAACAGTTTATCCAGACTTGGATAAAGAGACGCCATTGGGAAAATTTAAATGTTTGCTTTCTATAGGGTATCACTCCAACATCCTTGCTATTTATTTTTATGAAAATAAGTAGATAGGCTGCAAGAGTCACACGGAATCAAGTAGGGTCTTTGATCCTTGCAAATGCAAACTAACCATTATCCTTTCTTACCAGGTTTTCAGGAGTTACAATGCAGCTGAAGTTCCAAAAGGCCGTTCAGAAGCCCATCACGGGGCGACGATGGCAGAAGTACTGCTCGTGGCTCCTATATCTGATCCATCTCCTGGCGGTTGCTTACACCGCTTTGCTATTTTATGCCCTTGTCTGGGAAGCTGGGAATATTGTCAGTCTTCCCACCAAAAGAATTGGCTTCTTCAACTTCTGCCTGTGGGACCAGGAGGCAGAGAAACTGGATTGCCTCACGACCCACAGTCTGGAGAAGATGGGTGTCAATATGAATGCTCTGGTACTGTCAAGGATCTGCGTTTATATCACACCCGTCTTGTGTCTCTTCGTTGACACTACGATCTTGCAGTCCTTGTGTTTGAAAGACATAGATGGCTGGAAACTGGCCCGTAATCTTCTGGCCATTTGCGGTTTGTTTTTGCCTTCTGGCCTGGCTTTGTTTCTCTTCTGTACTAAGAAGTGGGTTCAGGCTGCTGATTTGGGGGGCGTTTTCGTAGCCCTAGTTGGGGCTTACATTTTGTTCTTGCTGCACCTGATCATTATTGTCCTGCACCTTGCACGGTTCAAGGATCATCTCCCTGAAAGACAGTTCTTTCCTGAAAGCAGCCTTCCATGATAATGGGAAGCATGTGCTTGGCACCCTTAATTTAGGGATGATTGTGTGACACAGCCATACTCTGTGCAAGTTCTGAGTGAGGCCAACACCTGTCGTACTAAGATGAGAGAGTTGGTGAAGAGCTTGTATTCCTAGCACAGGCGTATTTCTGTTTGTTTATGATTCAAATGATGCGGCAAGGAGGTTTCTCGAGGACTCTTCCAACGGAACCCAGTAGCTAATTGCTAGCTACTCCTCGGTAATAATGAAACGTGCCTTAGTATCTCATTTAACAGTTACTGTCTTGTTTAGGATAAGTTATTAATAGCTGGTTTGTTTTTAATATAGGGCCTTGGCTTGTTTTACAAGGGACCTCTGATTTGTGGGGTTGGTCTGCAGCCTCATATCTCTTAACATATATGGAGGGGTAAAAGAGTCGCACCTTCCTTTGCACAAGAGATCAAGAAACTGAGAAACATCAAGTATCTCACTAATGCTCGAAGTCTTCTGTTGTTAATTTTTTCTCTTCCAAATAACAATTTTTGATGAGAGCTTTCAGGCGAAGTGTGAGGTACTATAGAGCGTGGTTTTGTTGTTCTCTGCCTTCTAACCAAAGGAAGAATAAGGGAGATTCTGTGAACTTTGAAGTACTGGTGCTTAACTTCCCTTATGTTCACAACTACTGTTGATGGTGCCCGCCATAAATTAGAAGACCAGAAAAAGAAATCTCTTTGCAAATCTCAGTAGGTAGAAGAAAAGTAAGTACAACACCAATGGTGGGCAGAAATGTCAATTTTTGTACACAGCGAATGAAAGTACAAAGAGTTTTCCTTTTACACTTAGTTATTATATGAATGAGGCCTTTTATAAGTCTTGGTTAAATTTCACTTTTAAAATGTGGTGACTTTGGGAATTGATAACGATACCACCATTATGTACATGCTGCCATGTACCCGTTACTATAGGCGTGGAAGGAGAGCTTTTTTCTGGTTCCTATTAAGCATCAATACACCTATGTGCCATTTTTGAAAGTTATTGTAGAGCACAATGTCAAAAGACTTGTTAATTCAAAGTAAAGTCTCGTTAATTATAAAATGTGTCAGTTTTGGTTTTCTAAAAAAAAAGCACACCAGTAATGTACCAGAAGCATTACATTCGCTAGTATTTCTTTATCATTTCCAAGCTTCTTAGATGGTTCAGGACACACTTGGCCCTATAATAATAATAATAAGAAGAAGAAGAAGAAGAAGAGATGATGATGATGATGATGATGATGATGAAGTGGAAAATGAACACACAAAAATACTGTGGGACTTTCAAATCCAGACTGACAAAGTTTTGGAACATAATACATCAGACATCACAATTGTGGAAAAGAAAAAAAAGTTTGGATTATTGGTGTCACCGCATCAGGCGACAGCCGAATTTTAACGAAAAACAACAGGAAAAACTAAGCCGTTATCAGGACCTTATAAATGAACTGCAAAGTCTCTACCATAAACCAGTACAGGTGGTCCCAGTGGTAATCAGCACACCGGGTGCCATGTCAAAAGATCTTGGCCGGCATTTGGAAACAATAAACATTGAGAAAATCATGATCTGTCTATTGCAAGAAGGCCACCTTATTTGGATCTGTGCGCATCATTTGAAAATATATCACACAGTCCTAAACACTAGGGAAGTATTCGACTTGTGATTTTTGTGATACGAAATCCAGCATATATATCTCATTTGCTGTGCCATACTGTGCTTTTGTGTCGGTAAAATAATAATAAACTCCAAAGACTCTGGTACAAGCCAGTAAATGTCGTCCCAGTGGTGATCTGCACACTGGGTGCAGTGCCTAAAGACCTTGGCCTGCATTTAAACACAATTGGCGCTGACAAAATTACCATCTGCCAGCTGCAAAAGGCCACCTTACTGGAATCTGCACACATTATTCGCCGATACATCACACAGTCCTAGACACTTGGGAAGTGTCTGACGTGTGATCCAATTCAACAGCCAGCAGTGTCTGCTGTGGACTCATCTTGTGTTTCTAATAATAATCATCATCATCTTTATTACTAGCCTGCCCTCTCCCCGAAGGGACTCGGGGCGGTTTCCACACAAAAATGGCAAGATTCAATTTTACGGCTATTTCCTTCCAGCGTACACCCTAGAGATCCCAGTGAAAGATTTGGCAGTTCTCGGCTAAGCTCTGTAGTAATCCTTTACAAACCACCTTGTGAACTAGGTTAATAGCTCACTAACTCCACCTTGTGTTGAGATAGAGAACATGTCAACTTCCTAATGAAAATTGGACTGCAGTTCCTATGATCTCACCCAGCACAAGCAGTTGAAGACTCATGCAGTCCCCATCCCTCATCCATTAAGTTCATGGCTAAAACAAGAAGACAATTTCAAACTTCCAGACACATTTTGAACATAGGTTTCTTTCAAGAAGCCTACATTAACTAGGAGCATCCCTTTTCTAGATTGACACTAAAGCCCCCAATAGACCTGAGCATCCAGATCTTTCAGAAGTCCTGCTTAACCCACTGTTGCATCATGTCCTTGCTACACAGTAGTTGGCACTCTGCTCACAAGCATAATTTCACCTTTTTCGTCCAAATAAAGGTAAAGGTTTCCCCTGACATTAAGTCTAGTTGGTTCTGATTCTGGGGGTGATGCTCATCTCAATTTCTAAGCTGAAGAGCCGGCATTATCCATAGACACCTCCAAGGTCATATGGCCAGCATGACTGCATGAAGCCCCAATACCTTCCTGCAGAAGCTGTACCTATTGATCTACTCACATTTGCATGTTTTCGAACTGGTTGGCAGAACCTGGAGCTAACAGTGGGAGCTCACTCCACTACCCAGATTTGAACTGCCAACTTTTCAGTCAGCAAGTTCAGCAGCTCAGCGGTTTAACCTGCTATGCCAGTAGGGGACTCTTGCTGTCCTATACATATTGTGTATTTTGAGTCATTATGAAGGTGGGTATTTCTTTCCTCTACTAATGACCCAAGCCTCTCTCCAGGGCTCACACTGTCACTGTAGTTTTGTTGTTGGCAAGCAAAGGGTGGGAATCAGCTGGCTGTGTTTCCAAAAGCAGATGCACACCAATTGCACCATTTGCAAAGACCTCTGCAGGGCTCTTGGCAGAAAATATTCTCAGCCTTTAGCTCTGGCAAAATAGTCAAATATTTCACATGCATTCATTAAGCAATCCACTATTGTTCCCCAGCAACAGAATAGCTGTTCACAGGGAGCTGTCACAGCAGCAGGGTGAGTCTTGGTGAGAAGGAGCAGTGCAAGGCAAAGTCTTCAAACTACATGCAACCATTCAGGGTCTTAGCTGGTATCTATACAAGTGCGGCGTAAGAGTAACACAGAAACGTAGGAGACAGTTGAACATGTTCCACCTGAGGGAATAGTGCTTAGACATATCTTACCTTCCTTGCTAAAGTTTTCCAGGAATTGTAATCCAAAAAGTAACTTCCAAGCTGTGTTTGATGTGGGTGAAATTTACCATGCAAGTGTCTCTCCAATGCTTGAGCTTTCACTAGGTAAAAGGTAAAAGTTTCACCTGACATTAAATCTAGTCATGTCCGACTCTGGGGGTTGGTGCTCATCTCAATTTCTAAACCGAAGAGCTAGCATTGTCCATAGATGCCTCCAAGGTCATGTGGCCAGCATGGCTGCATGGAACACCATTACTATCCTGCTGGAGCAGTACCTATTGATCGACTCACATTTGCATGTTTTCAAACTGCTAGGTTGGCAGAAACTGGGCCTAACAGCAGGAGTTCACCCTGCTCCCCGGATTCAAACCCTGAACTTTTTGGTCAGCAAGGTCAGCAGCTCAGCAGTTTAATCCACTGCACCACCAGGGGCCCCTACAAAGCTCTTTCATCACAATTGCGCAAAATATATGGCCAGGAGAGAGAGAGAGAAAAAAAAGGCTAACTGAATTAGATGAAGGCTGCCCAATTGAGATGCAACAACAGAGTTTGGTCAAGTGCTGGCTGCATGTACCCCTCAGGTGTCACACACACCCCAAAGCCCTCTGGGGATATGGGGACATTTCTGATTTGTTTTGCACTCTCTCACACACACACCTGACCTATATGGGAATGGAACCAGATCAGAGCTAATGTGGCCCCCTAGCCTTCTGCAGAAGCATGTCTATGTGATAAATCATATACAGTGATAACTTAACGTAATCGTTTAATTCGTTCCATGGTAATAGTTTAATTTGTTCCATGAACAAGCTCTTAACTCAAACCACTTCTATCTCAAAGTGAATTTTGCCACTGAAATGCATTTAAATGCTATTAACCCGTTCTGGCCCCCCACCCCCGTTTTTTTGTTGTTACATATTTATAAATACAAAAATGTACTTTATGACTAATAAATAATGTATAAATGCACATTCACATGGAACAATAAAAAATAAAGACCAACTTTATAATGTTAGAAGCACAAGGTTGTAGCAAGGAAGCACAAAGCGAAGAGGCAGAAGCATCATTTTCAATGATGGACTGTATTTAGTCCAGCTTCCCTCCCTCTCTTCACGAAGACAAAACATTCCAGGAATAAAAACCACACAAAATCAACTAACCCAAAGTTCCTCAAAGCAGACAAGGGCAAAGCAGACAGCAATTTCCCAAAGCAGACAATAGCACAAGGCATGAGGCATGGAGGCTACTCCCTAGAAACCCTGTATTATCTTGCTAGCGCTCCCAAAGGAAGATAGATGCTTTTGAACTGTGGTGCTGGAGGAAAGTTCTGAGAGTGCCTTGGACTGCAAGAAGATCCAACCAGTCCATACTTCAGGAAATAAAGCCTGACTGCTCACTGGAGGGAAGGATATTAGAGAGAAAGTTGAAGTACTTTGGCCACATCATGAGGAGACAGGAAAGCTTAGAGAAGACAATGATGCTGGGGAAAATGGAAGGAAAAAGGAAGAAGGGCCGAACAAGAGGAAGATGGATGGCATCCTTGAAGTGACTGGCTTGAGTCTGAAGGAGCTGGGGGAGGTGACGGCTGACAGGGAGCTCTGGTGTGGGCTGGTTTATGAGTTCACGAAGAGTCGGAAACGACTGAATGAAGGAACAACATGTATACACACACACACATATACATACAGTATATACACGCAAATACATGGATACACTACTTTTGCTCTGTGAAGAGAAGCAGGACTTGTACAGAGAGGGTTGTTCACTCATTATTCCTTTAAAACAAGAGTTTTTTCAAGGTGAGTGTCCATACATTTGCAGAAGCCACTCCTTTGTAGACAAGTGGCCCATTTCTTACAGTATCTCTTTTGTCTGTTTAAGATGTAAAATTATGTAAAGAAAATTTCCCGGACATATTTCAAAGCATCATCATCGTCATACTCCTCCTGTGATTTGGTTGCCTTACTGCAGCTTAAACCATCCAATCCCTTGGGAAGCCTGGATCCCCCAGAAGGGCTTGCGTCTCTGTCACTGTCGCTCGTTGGAGTCCCATGACGATCTGTCATGGTTTGTTGAGGTTCTGGGTCCTCATCTTCCGATGAAGATATGTTGGTTTTCTTTCCCTTGGAGCTCTAACAAACAAAACACAACACAATAGGTATGCAATTATGCACGTGAGAAACAGTCTCTTGGAATCAGAGTGGGCTATTTTGGGCCCTTTAGTTGCCCATGCTTGCTGGAACCTTCTGGGAATTTGTACCACAGCATCTGGAAGGTTAAATATTCCCTATACCTGTCTGAAACGTACATAGATCTTTTAAAACAGAGTCAGTATGGTTTAATAGTTTGAGCATTGAACTATGAATCTGGAAATCCTCTGGGTGAACTTTGGGCAAGTCAAACGCTCTCAGCCTCAGAGGAAGGTGAAGGCAAGCTCCCTCTGAACAAATCTTGCCTTGAGATTGCTACACATTGGAAAGGACTTGAAGGCACACAACACCTTTTAAAAATAGCTTTCCACATTTTCTCTAATTGTGGAAAATGGGAAACCCTGATTACACTAAAGGACAAGACTATTCCAAAATTTGGCTGTCCATTTTCAAAGTTACAGTGATTTTGTGTGGTCACAAGAAAACGGTGGAGCCATTAGTACTCACCTCTGCCAAAATACAAAGAGCCATGTCCACCAGTTCTGCTTCATTCATACAATAGACTGTCTCAACTCTGCAAAGAAAATTCACATTGCAACGTAAAAATCCAAGAGCAATAACTAAGTGGAAAAATACCTATTGATCTTCTAAAATTCCCTTTGAAACCCTTATATTCTGCCCACTAATTCTGAAAAACTAAATTTCAGCTCGTCCTTGAAGCCAAGACCCTCTTAAATATTGCAGAGTTTTTTTACCTGCCTTCTTCAACTTGATTTCTAGTCTCATTCTTCCTGCATTATCTCCTTCCCACATTTTCCTTGCATAAAAAGAACCTCTGCATTCATCAACAACACAGACACCATGATGGCATCTTGTTAATGAGTTTGACATACGTGCAATTTGTGGCGTAATGAGAAAATAAATCACGTGTAATTCACGTTTGATCAGCCCACACACTGCTTTGCCAGAGAAAAAAAATATGCCACGCAGGTGAACAATAAAGAGCAAGTAGTTTACTCTTCATAGTTTAGAACAACATGTACAATGTGATCAGTTGTATCAACTCACATAATGTCCTTTTATCAGAGATTTAAAATGGTCTTTCTCTGTCCATGTGAACAAATTCCTTCAGCAGCTCATGAAACAAGAGCACACTCCAAAGTCTGTCTCTGCTTTTCTCTTCTTCTTACCTGCATAGCTCAAGCCTGAACAAAAATGCAACAGTGTCCAAAAGTCCCAGGCTCAGCCATCTCCCCAGGCATTGCCCAACCAATCAAATTCATGCATCTTATTTTACAGTTGACACATATGCATTAATTGATTCCTTGCATGCTCCAACACAACTTGCATCATTGTGACATTTGGGGGGTGGGACACCATGAATGTACAAATTTTATTCCGATCTCACAACAATCAAAATCTCCCATAAGCTTTAAGAAATGGGAGGAGCAGTAGATACAGTCAGCTATTTCCTTCAGCTGGATGTATTTCGACAGGCATCCTTCGGGACCTCATGAGGTCTTTGTGTGACCTCTGCTGGTGATGTTATTGATGTTTGCCAAGCTAAGTGACAATAGCTGGATGCATTCTCTCAGTACACATGAGCCTTTATGTGACCTGTAGACTTATGAAGGCTCTATGAATTCCATAAGGCATGGAATACTGAGAGATGGTTTTGCCAGTTCCTTTCTCTAAAACAGGCACGGGCAAACTTCAGCCCTCCAGGTGTTTTGGACTTCAACTCCCACAATTCCTAACAGCCGGTAGGCTGATCAATGAAATAGCTTCAAGGAAATAGCTGGATGTATCTACTACTCCTCCCATTTCTTAATGCTTAAGGGAGATTTTGATTGTTGTGCGGTCAGAATAGAATTTGCACCTTCATGGTACCCCCCCCCCCAAAGGTCACAATGATGCAAGTTGTGTTGGAGCATGCAAGGAATCGGTTAATGCATGCGTGTCAACTATAAAATAAGATGCATTAATCGGATTGGTTGGGCAATACCTGGGAAGATGGCTGAGCCTGGGACTTTTGGATACTGTTGCATTGTTGTTCAGGCTTGAGCTATGCAGGTGCTCAGAGAGAGAAGAAGAGAGAAGCAGAGAGAGACAGTTTGGAGTGTGCTCTTGTTAGGAATTGTGGAAGCTGAAGTCCAAAACACCTGGAGGGCCGAAGTTTTCCCATGCCTATTCTAAAATATAGTCTACAGAATCTGGAATTCTCTACCAACACTGGAATAGCCATAGGCTGTCACACTCAACCACAAATATCTATCTATTTTAAAATGTTCTGGCGTTGAGGATTTGTGAATGAAAACATAGATGAAATTGGACTGGGTCATCATTTCAGGGTTAAAAGCCTTAGTGGCTCACCACAGGATAGCCAGTTGGCAAATTGGGATCTATAGAGTCATATGCCACCACTTAATAAAGATCCTCTTAAGCCTGCCATACAGCCATTCCAAGGTGTGTGGAGAGCCTGGACATATGCTGAGTACAAATACTTTTTTTAAAATTGAAGGTCAAAGGTCTGCTGAGTTCCTAGGATTGAAAAATGCCTCACCCCACTGAAGTTGATTTCTTCCTCCTCTTTGGTTTGATTTCTGGTTCTTGTGCTGACTCAGTTGCCCGTTTTGTCATCCACATTGGGAGGATCCTCTTCTTTGCTGCTTCTGGAGATCCCATTTCCTCCTTACTCAAGAAGGATAGCATCAAGGGAAAATTAGTAATACAGGGATGTAGGGATAACAAGAGAAGAAGAAGAAAAAAGAGAAGCTAAAGAGAAGACGGGACATAAAGGGAAGTCATAGGGAGGAGGGAGCAAGATTGTTTTCTGCTGCTCTGAGACTAGGATGCGGAACAATGGCTTCAAACTACAGGAAAGGAGATTCCACCTAAATATTAGGAAGAAATTCCTAACTGTGTGAGCTGTTCAGCAGTGGAACTCTCTGCCCCGGAGTGTGGTGGAGGCTCCTTCTTTGGAGGCTGGATGGCCATCTGTTAGGGTTGCTTTAAATGTGATTTTCCTGCTTCTTGCCAGGGGGTTGGACTGGATGGCCCACGAGGTCTCTTCCAACTCTATGATTCTATGATTAAGTTAGTGACAAGAATAACAGCATCTCTAATAATATGCAAGGGATCTACCAGAGATGAAAAGTTATAGATTTTTTGATTATGAAGAAGACAGCAGAGACAGGGTCAGAAGCGTTAGGGCTTTCATAGAATCAGAGAGTTGGAAGAGATTTCATGGGCCATCCAGTCCAACCCCCTTCCAAGAAGCAGGAATATTGCATTCAAAACACCCCTGACAGATAGCCATCCAGCCTGTTTAAAAGCTTCCACCACACTCCGGGGCAGAGAGTTCCACTGCTGAACGGCTCTCACAGGAAGTTCTTCCTAATGTTCAGATAGAATCTCCTTTCTTGTAGTCTGAAGCCATTGTTTCGCGCCCTAGTCTCCAGGGAAGCAGAAAACAAGCCTGCTCCCTCCTCCCTATGACTTCTCCTCACATATTTATACATGGCTATCGTGTCTCCTCTCAGCCTTCTCTTCTTCAGGCTAAACATGCCCAGCTCTTTAAGCCGCTCTTCATAGGGTTTGTTCTCCAGACCCTTGATCATTTTAGTCGCCCTCCTCTGGACACTTTCCAGCTTGTCAATATCTCTCTTCAATTGTGGTGCCCAGAATTGGACACAATATTCCATTTTCCATTTCTCAATTTTTCTATATCCTTTGTTTCAAAACACTGTACAACCACTTTTCTATCCTTCTGTTTTAGATAGAAAAGAATACTCTTTTTGCTATATTTTTTTTAACATCATAGAGACCTTTTAGTATTAGATAATAATGGAAGAAGGTAACTTAAGCGGCTGAGGGGGGAAAATGAATGGGTCTGAGGCCAGGAATTGTGGGAGTTGAAGTCCAAAACACCTGGATGGTCAAAATTCGCCCATGCCTGATCTACACTGTACAGTTGATGCAGTTTGACATTACGTCTCAATGCAACAGAATTATGGTGTTTGTAGTTTGGAGCCCCCGGTGGTGCAGTGGGTTAAACCGCTGAACTGCTGAACTTGCTAACCAAAAGGTCACAGGTTCAAATCCGGGGAGCGGTGTGAGCTCCCACTGTTAGCCTCAGCTTCTGCTAACCTAGCAGTTCAAAAACATGAGTAGATCAATAGGTACTGCTCTGGTGGGAAGGTAACGGCACTCCATGCAGTCATGCTGGCCACATGACTTTGGAGGTGTCTACGGACAATGCTGGCTCTTCGGCTTAGAAATTGAGATGAGCACCAACCCCCAGAGTCGGACACGACTGGACTTAATGTCAGGGGAAAATCTTTACCTTTACCTTAGTTTGGTAGGGCACCAACACTCTTTGCTAGAGAAGGGTAAAGGCCTTATAAAACTACAACTCTCATAATTCAATAGCCTTGGTAGTCAAAAGGGTGTCAAACTGCATTTATTCTACAGTGTAGATACACCCTCAGTGGGAGAAATGAGTGCTGTAAATGACGGAAGTGCACTGAAGTTTTGAGCAAAGGTTTCTCACATACTTCTCCATCCAAGCTGCAGATTCCACGATTAAAAGGGGCATGAAACTGATTTAATTGCATAGTGTAGATATACCCAAAGAATCAGCTACCCTTTCAACCCCATCATGAACAAACCCAAGAATAAGTAAAACCCCTGTTGGTTTGCTTTACCAAAACTCTAAACAATGATTTGCTTCCTTACCTGCTCTGTGCAATCACATATGTTTGCCTCGTTCACCCATTCCAACCCACGTTGCAATTTTGGTGCAGGACTTCTCTCCAAACGTTAAAAGGAAGTAGCAAGCAGCCATCTCTGTGACGTCACGAGGGCTCCTCCCCCTCTGCCCCCCATTGGCTGGGAACTCAAGTTCTCACTCAAGTTCAAGGAGGAGCAAGCAATTCAAAACAAGGCATTAGCCCATTGACTGAGTTTCAACTACACCTCCCAGAATCCTCCAGCCAGCACTGCCACTGGGAATTGTAGTTCCAAAAAAGTAATAGCCTCCAGCCGAATGACCAAATCTAAACTAACTGCAGGCGAAGAGATATTCATGAGATGTATGGAGTGGAGTCATGTACCAAATTGCAAATAATGACCAAAATGACCAAAAATTGAATATGATGTGAACTTTCAAGTCATTTCTGCCAGATTAATCCCAGAAAATTCAATCAGTACTTAAAGTTTGTTATGTTAGGCAAGTTAGGTGCATCATTGGCGGGGTTCAGTGTGCCCTCTAGCTGTAGGATAAACTACAACTCCCACTACAGTGAGTAAAGTCCCCTCAAACCCCTCCAGTAGGTTGAGTTAGTCATGCGGGTTCTGTGTGCCAAGTTTGGTCCAAGTCCATAATCGGTGGAAGTCACAGTTTCTCTGGTCATGGGTGAACTATAACTCCCAGAAATGAAGGTGAGTTCCCCTCAAACCCCTCCAGTAATCAAATTTTGGCATATCAGGTAATGGGGGCTGTTTGCCAAATTAGGTCCAGTTCAATCTCTGGTGGAGTTCAGAGTGCTCATTGATTGTAGGTGAACTATAAATCRCAGTACCTACAACTCCAAAACGTCCAMGCCAATTCCCCTCAAAACCCACCAGTATTCAGATTTGGGCATATTGAGTATGCATGCCAAATTTGGTCCAGATCCATCATTGTTTGGGTTTCTAGTGCTCTCTGGATGTAGGTGAACTACAATTCCTATCAATCCCTCCAAAGACCTCCAYTATGTTTTGTTGGTCATAGGGGTTCTGTGTGCCAAAGTAGTTCCAGATCCATTGTTGGTGAGTTCAGAGTGCGCTTCTTAGATTGCAGGTGAACTATACATCCCAGTACCTACAACTCKTATAATTCATGAATTCTCCCCAAATCTCCAATGTGTTCAGTTGCTGATCAATTCCTCTGTTTGCTGTGTGCCACAGAAAATAATAAGAAAAGGTTATGGGAGAGGCAGTGGGTGGGGTCATGCAAATTCKACACCAATGAGAAGCAGAAATACTGGGATGCCTGTGGTGGAGGAAACACATAAAATCTAGGATGAAATTGTCCCCGTATGAAAGCTTTCACTTGGGTGGTGGGCAGTATGGTGTTGGAGGAGGACATTGGCAGGGCTCTTGTACATGTTAATGACACTCACCATAACCTGCAATGTCATTGGAGGGAGGGCTATTGGTGTCTCCTGAGAAGTGAGGGGACAGGAGCTTGTCAGTGTAAGTGGACAGCTCAGCCACATACACACATACATATTTTCACTTTTATGATGTGTATAGATAGATCTGGAATCAATTATTTTGTGCATATGATGCTCACTTGGTTTTCCATAAGGCAGTTTCTCACATTCAACAACACATGTCCCTCGGCCCTACCCTAGTAGACTCTCAGCACAGGTCATGCCTTATTGAACTCCTAGGTTAAGGTAAACGTTTTCCCCTGACATTCGTGTCCAGTCGTGTCCAGCTCTGGGGGGTGGTACTCATCTCCATTTCTAAGTCGAAGAGCCGGCATTGTCCATAGACACCTCCAAGGTCGTGTGGCTGGCATGACTGCATGGAGCGCCGGAGTGGTACCTATTGATCTACGCACATTTGCATGTTTTTGAACTGCTAGGTTGGCAGAAGCTGCGGCTAATAGTGGGAGCTCACCCTGCTCTCCAGATTCGAACCTGCAACCTTTTGGTCAGCAAGTTCAGCAGCTCAGCGCTTTAACCCACTGTGCCACCGAGGGCTCCACTTAGCTGCTGCACAGACGTTTCATAGTGATAGAAACAACACAGATGCCAAATGCAGTCCAATATTTATTTTCATAAGAAATGCAGGAACAGACAGAATACTGCTGGGCTTCCCTGCCCCCTTTGCTGGAACCAATGCAAATCTGCACCCACCTCTCAAAATAGTCCTGGAGCGTTATGTCCACGTAGTTCGGCAGGCCCAAGGGGGGAAAAAATCTTTCTTTCTCTTTCTTTCTTTCTTTCTTTCTTTCTTTCTTTCTTTCTTTCTTTCTTTCTTTCTTTCTTTCTTTCTTTCTTTCTCTTTCCGTGTTGGTCCTCTTCAAAAGGAGTTTGGGATCAGTGCATGCCTGATAAGAGCATCCCTTATTTGAGGGAACTACTGTAACTGAAACTCTTAACTGGCAGTGGTTTGGCATCAACATCTTTTTTGTAAAAAGGTTTCTGACCTAGAGGGGAAAGCAACGTTAAGACAAGTGGTTGGATTTCTCTTTCCTCTCTGCAGCTGCTTGATTCTAAATGGTTAATACTGGTCGACTCCTGATTCCCACCCCAAGTCCGTATCTTGTGCTTTTCTAGCACTGCAGTCTCCCTTAAGACTTCTGTGCCAGAAGAGTGGTTAGTTTGATCTTCCCATCCATAGAGGCTGTCAGGCAGGTCCCACAATCCATAGCTGTGCACCAGTCCACTGTGACCACCGGGGCCCTGTGACCGCCGAGGGAGAGGCAGCTCTCCAGGACCTTGTTATTGCTATTCAGCTGGAAGAGAAGGAAAGACAGACAAAAGTCAAAATGTATCTAAAATATTTGGCCACCTTGATTTTTACTTTTGCCCAAGACAGTAGGCAAGAGGACCACCATGCTGGATGAAACCAATGGCCTTTCATGACGGACCCAAATCATGCAACTAATCAAATGAAACTGGACTGCATCTCCCAGCATCCCTTGCAATTGATTATACTACTTAGAGCTGTTTGGAATGGCATTGCAACCATATCTAGAGTGTTAGACAATTCACACCTCTGGTTTACGCAGTCCAATATTCTGTTCCCCACTGGGGCCACCAAAATGCCTTGGGAAGGCCACAAGCAGGATGTCTTTATTATTTAATTATATGTATAGTAACATGGTGTGTGTGTGTGTATATATATATGTGTGTGTGTGTGTGTGTATACACGCATATATGGAGCCCCTGGTGGCGCAATGGGTTAAAGCACTGAGCTGCTGTGCTTGTGGACCGAAAGGTCGCAGGTTCAATTCCGGGTAGCTGTCAGCCCTAGCTTCTGCCAACCTAGCAGTTCGAAAACATACAGATGTGAGTAGATCAATAGGTACCGCTCCAGCGGGAACTTAACGGCGCTCCATGCAATCATGCCAGCCACATGACCTTGGAGGTGTCTATGGACAACGCCAGCTCTTCGGCTTAGAAATGGAGATGAGCACCACACCCCAGAGTCAGACATGACTGGATTTAATGTCAGGGGACAACCTTTACCTTTACACACACACACACACACACACACACTTTAATCTTTAGAGTGGGAAGAATCAAGCTATTAAACTAATAAAAGCATTCACATCAAAAGTTCAGTTAAACAGACAGAACAGACAACAAATAGAGGAATTATGCCTGCATTTTTCTAACTTTGGCGTCCTGGAGATTGTGCTCGATTCCAGCCACAGGGTGCTGCTGCTGCTGCTCCATCCTCTACAACAAAGAGCCCTTGATCACAGACTTCCTCCTTCCTTTGATGGCTGGCATTTTCTAGTATTTCCTTTATGGTGGCGTAAAATGCCTCCTTGCTTAAGCGGTGCCTAATTTCTCTACTCAAAGCTCACGGCTGTTTTCAAACTGCTTAGGTGGACAGTAAGCTGGGCTAAAGGCCGGGTGCTCAGCCTGACCCAGGCTTCAAATTGTCAACCTTTTGATTGGTAAGATCTATTGCTGGTGGTGATTAAAGCCCGGCCTGTTCATATTATACTATATTGTTCATATTATATTGTATCCTCACAGTTTTTGCAATATATATGCTAAGGTTTTGTGTCTTTACAGCAAAGCGGCCATGCAATTCTGGCCGTTCTAAACTTTCTCATAATGAAATGCTCTGGAGTGCCAAATAAAAAGCAAATTTATCTGGAGCTATGTTAAATGTTCCATAGCACTGCAGCATTTGGCTTCAATAAGAAGCTGTGTGGCCCTGCAAAACAAGGCTGCAGGGTAGAGTGGGGGAAATCAATAAGCATGCACAGCAGCGATACCTCCAGTTTAACAAAGTAAGCCCAGCAGCAGTGCTAGACCAAGAATCAGACAAGACTAGCAATGGCTCTAGTTTTGTTTATGTTTTAGGGGTTTGGAAACGATCAAAGGTTAGAGTTCTACACTGGCTTACTTTTAAAAAAAAAACATTTTTGCCCAAATGTCCTAAAAGACCCTCTGAAGGCACCACACATGCATAAATCCCAGGCAGTCTTAGGCCTAGGAGAGACCTTGATGACAGCAGGAAGTGACCCAGAAACTGTTAGAAATGGTTAAATTGCTCCCATGCCTCCAGATGTCGTTTGGGGGCGCAACAATTTTTGATACTTTTTAAAAAGGGGAAACCTTAAAAAAGGTTTTAAATGTTTTTTTAAGGGAAAACCAACTCTGCTACTCAGCATTACTAGACCTGAAATGCATGCACACTGCTTTAGTGTCAGCCTCCTATCCCATTTCTCTTTATAGATAGGCATGGGCAAGCTTTGGCCCTCCAAGTGTTTTGGACTTTAATTCCCACAATTCCTCACAGCTGGTAGAAATCCTGCTTTATCAGACCAAAGACCTATCTAATCCAGCAGCCTGTCCTTCTCAAGGGAAAATCCAGAAGTGAAGGTGAGGCCAATGCTTTCCTTTCACTATGGCATCCAAGCAACTGATATTCAGAGACATGTTGCCTCTGGGCCTGGAAGGAGCACAGCCATCAGTTCCAGTAGCCCATACCTTGTAGATAACACCTCCAGTGGAAGAGCAGGTCAGCATGTAGTTTCCCTCAGAGTCAAAGGCAAAAAGACGTCCACGCGGGAACTGGACTTGCTTGTATCCACTGTAGCCAGACAACACAAAAGGACCGGTGGCATCTCTGGGGAGGGCATATTCAGACACTTTCGAGCCACTTTTGTGAATGTTCCATTGAATAAACTAGGATGGCAAAACAGACTTCATTCAGAGACAGAAAGAAACATGTCAACGCTTCAGTTTCTCCTGCAGTAGCAGCTACAACAAGGTTGGGCAAAATGAAGCCCCCCAGGATTTGGACAGCAGTCAGTGAAGTAACTGCTGTCCAAAAAGGAAAGCTTAGAGAAGACAATGATGCTGGGGAATATGGAAGGAAAAAGGAAGAGGGGCCGACTAAGGGCAAGATGGATGGATGGCATCCTTGAAGTGACTGGATTAACCTTGAAGGAGCTGGGGGTGGTGACGGCTGACAGGGAGCTCTGGCGTGGGCTGGTCCATGAGGTCACAAAGAGTCGAAAATGACTGAACGAATGAACAACAATAATAGTGAGGTGTAGTGCATTGAGCGTTGAGACGAGGAACTCTGGAGACCAGGGTTCAAATTTCCCAGTTGGCCATGGAAACCTACTGGGAGACTTTGAACAAGTCATACTCTCCTGGCCTCTGAACAAATCTTAACAAGAAAACCTTGTGACAAACTAGGATGGCACTTTGGTGTTTCTAGAAAGATTTAAAGGCACATCATAGAATAGAATACCTTTACTGCCATTGTACACCTTACAACAAAATTAAATGCCATCCTCAATACATATTATATGCAATACAAAAACAAAACACTCATCCTTCCACATTTTAAGCACTATAGCACAACCCCTAATGCCACATCAACATGAAACCATAGAGTTCAATATAGCTCTGGGAAAAAAGCCAGCTCTCAGCCTTATTTTTATCATCCTATACCATCTGTTAGATGCTAATCATTAAAAAAAAGAATATCCAGGGTGAGATAGATCCTTAAGAATATTCTGAGCTCTCTTAAGGCAGCGGGAATTATGAAGTTCCCACTTTATAATAACAATCTCAATATTCCTCATCGCTGATGGCACTGGTTAGTCCTAGAATCATAGACCTTGTGTGCCATCCAGACTAACCCCTTGCCAAGAAACAAGAAAATCACATTCAAAACACTCTTGACAGATGGCCGTCCAGCTTCTGCTTAAAAGCCTCCAAAGAAGGAGACACCACCACAGTCTCCACAACTAGGAGTTATAATCCAAGAACATCTAGGGCTAAACTTTGCCCACCCTCAACTTTGTTGTTGTGTGCCATCAAGTCATTTCCAACTGATGGCAATCCTATCAAAATGTTTTCTGGGGCTGAGAATGAAACAGGTGTTACTTCATGACAGATGTAAATATGCATTTGTTAAAAAAATGGTACAGACAAAGAGTCAAGCACTTACCTTCCCATCTTCTCCAATACTATAAACAGCATTCTCATCATAGCTGAATTCAACTGAATACACCTCCCCATCATGGGCCATCCAACTCATTGCACATTCATGCTGCTGCATATCTGAAAAAGAGAAATAGAATGCATGTGCTCTTTTTAATAAGCCAATTCTCCAAGGCTACATTCTCTGCTTTCCTTCATATGTACAAGGGTTATCCAGAAAGTAAGGTTACAAGATTTTTTTAAGAATACAAAGAATGAATGTATTTTAATAAAACTGACATGGATTGTAGCATAGGTATTACATTATTTTTTCCACACAATCACCATTCAATTCAATACATTTTGTCATCCGGGGGACGAGTTTTGGATGCCTGTGTCATAGAAGTTTCCCTCTGCCTTTTTCAGCCAGTTCGTCACTTTGATTTTCACCTCGGCGTCATCCAAAAAGTGTTTTCCATCAAGGTATTCCTTCAATTTAGTGAACAGGTGCAAAATCAGGGCTGTGAGAGGGTGGCTTTAAACATTGTTTGTTTGTTTGTTGATTTATTTAACTGTATTTGTATACCACCCTTCTCAGCCCTCAGGTAACTCATCCCAACCAAACGAAGTCAACAATTCTTGTGTTATATCAGTGATGTGCGGACATGCTTTGTCATGAAGGAAACAGACTCCCGCCATCAGCATCCCACAACATTTGTTTTGGATGGCTCTGCGAAGTTTCTTCATGGTCTCACAATATATTCCGTACTCATTCTGTCACATGCTGTCTTGACGTTATGTCCTCACCATAAACTGAAATGATTTCGTGATGAATCACGGCAGCGTTCATGCCCTTAGCATTTAGGTAGCGTATTACAGCATGAACTTTGTACTTGGAATGAAACAGAACGAGGACGCTTATCTCTAACCTTCACCACAACGCTAGTCAATGAGCTACTGACGACTGGCACTGCACATTTGCTTCTGCTGGCTTCCCGCTACACGGCAGTGATACCAACTTCCCCCGTGAAAATTCCCCACAAAAGCTACTTGCCTTGTAACTTTATTTTCCAGATAACCCTCATATCTGGCTACATCAGTCATTATACACAGCCAGTATGGTCGCTGAAAGCCATTTAAAGGACACCAGGATGCAAAGCATAAATCATGCTCCAAAATGAATAATAATAATTATTATTATTTTATTTTTATATCCCGCCACCATCTTCCCGAAGGGACTTGGGACATGTAATGCGGGGCCAAGCCCAAAGCCAACAACAGAGTTTATCAATTAAAACACAGTTAAAAACATAATAAACATATCACAATCTAATTAAACAATTAGAAACAGCAGGATATAAAACATCATTAAAATATATAAAAAAACAAACCTCAATAGTAACTCAATCAATCAATAACAAGGAATTATTCCCTATATTTGACAAATGGGACAACAATAACCACCTTCTAAATATAGTAATAAGAGTTGTGAAGGCCTGGAGGGAAAATGAAAGAGAATTAGAAAAAATGTTAATCCTGCTTTTTTTCCCCAAAGCCACTTTTCCCCACAAAAATAAAATAGGAGAAAAAAGGAAAGAACGAATTGGATTATGGAACATTTTGTTTTAGAATGAATAAAAGGTTTAAGACCAAATTTTCATTGATATAAACTATCTCTCAGAGTGCTAATTTTCCTTGTAAATCCCAATAGTGCTTAATAGTTAAAAAAATTTCTTCCAAAGCCCTTTAGCCTCATCTAGTTTTGTTTTGTTTTGTTCTTCTTTCTTTCCTTCCTTCTCTCCTCCCTCTTTTTGGGGGAAGAAATGTTGATAGTCTGTGTAGATTCTAGAGCAGGCATGGGCAAACTTGGGCCCTCCAGGTGCTTTGGACTTCAACTCCCATAATTCCTAACAGCCCCAGGATCCTTAAGCAGCTGAGGGGCCAATGGAAAGGGCCTGAGACTGTTAGGAATTGTGGGAGTTGAAGTCCAAAGCACCTGGAGGGCCCAAATTTTCCCATGCCTGTTCTAGAGCATCCCAGGAGTAGAAAAAAGGCCTCCCTCACCACAACAGCCTACCCAAAGGGTACTGGATGAACCAGCCGGTGTACAGTATTTGAACAAACAAGTTGTATTCAAAAAACTGGCAATTTACCAAAGAGACGGATGACGCCATCCGCTGCTCCAGTGACCAACAGATTCCCATTGTGGTTGAAGGCTGTGCAGTTTATAGCAATGGGCTCTGGTTCAAGGGAAAACTGGAGCTGAAATGACAAAAACAAAAACAAACAGTTCACTGAATGTCTTTTCCCCCTAGAAATGTTCTTTTGGCACAGACACAAGACGACAATTACTCCCCAGGGTGTCCAGTTGCTCAGTCGAATTCCTCCATCTGGACTTCTTTTCTTTCATTCCCTTCTGCAACCAGAGGGGAATTCAAGTCATTTCAACCAATTCCACCCTGTCCTTGTCTTCTGTGGTTTCTTGCTACTTCTGCTTCCCACCAAATAATTAAATATAATTCCTTTTGATAATTTCTGGTGAAGATGCTCCCACCACAAGTAATGGTCACAGAAAGGCTATATTGGAAATATATGAATGAGGAGGGAAATATGCTAATGCTTCATTAACTGGGGGGACGGGGACTCCTTATAAAGATCTCCCAGTCTTCCTAATAGAATCACAATGAAGCGGAAAGGTGCTACACATGCTTATACCTGCTGCTTCATGGTTTTCGTGTCCCAGAGAAGCAGTTTCCCTGGGACTTGATTTGCGCCTTTCCCTCCAGAATCGGGAGCTGTGTAGTCTAGCTGGTTGACAAGGCCAGACGCTGCTGCCGAACACACAAAGGAAGCCCCGCTTGGGCTACACGCAAGGGAGAGGATCCTGAAATACACATAAAGGGAGGCAACCATTTTAGGATTGGGCAATAGTCATGCTGAAAACCGTTTCCTGGTTGCCTGCCAAATTCAAATTGTGTTTTCCTTCTGCCCAGCCAATGATCATAGAATCATAGAGTTGGAAGAGACCTCATGGGCCATCCAGTCCAACCCACTGCCAAGAAGCAGGAAAATCACATTCAAAGCACCCCCGAGAGATTGCCATCCAGCCTCTGCTTAAAAGCCTCCAAAGGGGCAGAGAGTTCCACTGCTGAACAGCTCTCAGAGTTAGGAAGTTCTTCCTAATGTTCAGGTGGAATATCATTTCCTGTATTTTGAAGCCATTTTTGTTAAGAGTTTTGGCTTGTTCCAGTGGCATTTCAGGGGATGGGTCTTGTTCAGTAGTAATAGGTTCACTCTTTATATATGGCCATCATGTCTCCTCTCAGCCTTCTCTTCTTCAGGCTAAACATGTCCAGCTCTTTAAGCCGCTCCTCACAGGACTTGTTCTCCAGATGCATGATTATTTTAGTCACCCACCTCTGGACACATTCCAGCTTGTCAATATCTCCTGTCAGTACTATAGTGTTTTTACTGGTGTGAAATACAGTTTATAGTTTTAAACTCTGGGTGTCCGGTGCAGGACGTAATGCTATGTAATGCTATGCAAGAGTTAAAGACATACAGTGATTTACTGCTTAGAGAGTGAACTGTAAGCTTTTCCTGTATACGTCACATATTCCCATGACGTGGATTTGAGATAACGGACTGCTGGACGTTCTCTTCCAGCCATGCCGTAGGAGGAGCTGGACGCGTATGTGATTTCTCTTGTACATAATTATGTTTGTTATTTTTGTAGCTCTAGAAAGTAACTAAATAAAAATGTGCCACTTCAAGGCTTTGAAGTTGATTGAAGTCTGCGCACTTTGCTTTCATTGCGAGCCTCCTAGCTGTTGCTCTGAGGCCAAATTTTAATGACACCTCCCTCAATTGCGGTGCCCAGAACTGGACACAATATTCCAGGTGTGATCTGACCAAGGCAGAATAGAGGGGTAGCATGACTTCGCTGGATCTAGACACTAGGCTCCTATTTATGCAGGCCAAAATTCCATTGGCTTTTTTAGTCACCGCATCACATTGTTGGTTCATGTTTAACTTGTTGTCCACAAGGACACCACGTACTGCTATCGAGCCAAGCACCCCCCCCCCCCCCATTCTGTATCTTTGCATTTCATTTTTTCTGCCTAGGTGGAATATGCCTAAGTGATGCAGTGGGTGTTCTGGAACAAGGCATAAACATAGTGTGAATTGGTCAGGCAGCTGGAGCTTTGCAATAGTCCTTGAGCTCACAACAGTCTAATGCAGGGGTCCTCAAACCCTTTAAGAAAACACAGTCCCACAGACTGTTTGGGAAGCCAGGCGATAGTTTGGAAAAAAAAACAAACATGAATGAATCCTTATGCACACTGCATACATCTTATTTATAGTGCAAGAAAACTAGGAAAGATCAATAAAATATTGAAAATGAAGAGCAATTTTAACCAACATAAACTTACTGGTACTCCAATGAGAAGTGTGGCTCTGTTTTCGGCTGATGAGAAAGTCAATTAGGATTGTTGTTGTTGTTGTGTGCCTTCAAGTCATTTCAGACTCAGGGCAACACAAGGTCTAAAGTTTAGGATGGGGCCAGGTAAATGGCCTTGGAGGACCACATCCAACCCACAGGCTTTAGTTTGGGGACTCCTGGTCTAACGCATTTAGACTTTTTTCATCTGCTTCTTGCTGGGAATTTGTCAAAATTTAGCAGCGGATCACAGAGTCCTCCCCACTTCTCTTTCCTGCATCAAATATCCAGCTGTTGTGAACCAATCACTCCTTGAGAAAAACTCAGTGAGGGCTGGATATGTAACTCGACTCCTTTCCCAACGCTTCCAATTTACTATGTACATTATATGCAAATAACGTCAACATTTTGAAATCTTCAGGTCCTAAGCATTTCAGATAAGAGGGGCTCAACCTGCATAAATCTAATATGTCTTGTGTTTTTCATTGTGGGTGTTGCAGCAATAGAAATGTGAATGGAAAGAGTGTGTTTTGTATCACAGGGCAACATATTGTAGCATTTAAAAAGCCCACTCCAAGTGTTTTAGCACTAGAATTGCAAATAATCATGTTGTAAAACTACAAATCATAGAGTTAGAAGAGACCTCCTGGGCCACCCAGTCCAACCCCCTGCCAAGAAGCAGGAAAATCATATTCAAAGCACTCCCGACAGATGGCCACCCAGCCTCTGCTTAAAAGCCTCCAAAAAAAGGAGCCTCCACCACGCTCTGGGGCGGAGAGTTCCACTGCTGAACAGCTCTCACAGTTAGGAAGTTCTTCCCAACGTTCAGATGGAATCTCCTTTCCTGTAATGTAATGCAAAACTTTGATATCATCAGATTGATAACTTTAACTAAGTACTTTTAAAAATAAATTACTGAGCTCTTTTCCTGAGGGTTTACTACAAGTTGAACTCCATGGTTTCACATAGATATGGCACCGGGGGCTGTGCGTGGTGGTTGGAGTGTGGAGGGATGGGAATGTTGTTTTTGTGATCTGTGTTGGGGAAGGCATTTAATTTTGTTGTGCAATAGTACAATAACAATAAAGTGATTCCATTCTTGGCATCTGTAAAGCTTGGTCTGGTAATCTGTGAAACAGAAATCCTATATCATCACAGCAAGCAGTAATGTAAATAAAACGGGTCACGGCACAACTCTTTACACTCAGTAGATACAAAGTAAAGGTAATCAGCTCAGGAGAAATACCTGGGCATATCTTCATCAATACTGATTTCACAAAGGTTCTTCTTTGCCTCAGTGTCATAAAGACGAACAGTTCCAACTCCACTACCCAGCAACAACTAGAAATCAGAAAAGAGAAGGAAAAAAGAGAGAAAATGTGAAAAGTTATATAATATTCCATTCTAAACATCTACTGTTAGCCTTATCTCCTGCCAACCTAGCAGTTTGAAAACATGCAAATGTGAATAGATCAAAAGGTACCGCTTTGTAGGGAAGGTACTAAAAGTGCCCATGCAGCCATGCCAGCAATACGACCAGGATAATAGGCTCCTCAGCTTGGAAATGGAACAAGAGCACCTCCCCATGGCTAGAATTGAGCACCGCCTTCAGAAGCCGGAGATGGGAGGGGAAGCCTTTATCTTTGTTTTGTGTATTTGTGTGTCATTTTATTCCACTGTGTCGAAGGCAGTGAATGTTTGCCCAGCTGTGTATGTTGTAATCCGCTCTGAAGATAGAGCGGAATATAAATAAAGTGCTGTTGTAGTAACTTTACTGACACAAAAACACACTATGTCACAGCAAATGAGATATATATGCTGGATTTTGTATCACAAAATTACAAGTTGAACACTTCCCAAGCGTTTACAACTGTGTGATGTATATGATGCAAATATATTGTTGTTATTGTTATTATTATTATATCCATTTACTCACCAATCTATCCCGTTTGGTTGCCCATTCTAAGGAGAGTAGGGGAGACTTCGAAATGGAGGAAGCTTTTGTCTGCATCATGGGGTTGAAAGACCAGACCTTGATGACTCCATCCACATCCAGGCTGGCCACTCTTCGACCAGAGCAATCAACCCTAAATAGAGTAGCATTAGTCATAAGAGAGAATACCACCACCACCACTAATAATAATAATAATAATAATAATAATAATAATAATAATAATTCTTATTTAATCTGTTTCATCATAACAAGACACAGACAATCCTGTAGTATGTTTGAGACTAACAGAAAAAAATACATTTCTAGCATGGGGAATCCAGTCCATGAAAGCTTATACTATTTTTTTTTCTTTCTCAGTCTCAAAGGTACAAAAGGATTATCATACACAAAGATGAGAGTGATGTACTCACAGCTGCTTTGCCTAAAATATGGAAACATGGTCACAGATTCTTTTGCACCCCATAAACCACAATGAAGTAAGATATTTCCACTAACATTGATGAAGGATGTTAACTATGCATCACACCCTAAACAACTCTGCAAAGTCTGCAGACTGAAAACAGAGGATGAAAGGCTGGGAGTGAGTCCAAGTCAGATGCCACACATTCAGTGCTTGTTCCACCGAGTCACAAAGGTTCTCCAACCATCATCTAGTCCTTTTCCAAAGGTGTAGAGGGAGAGTACCCCTTACCGGCAATGCATGATGGACGAGTGGTGTTCGCCATACTCTTCCTGGCTTAAGACAATGAATGGCTGTTCCTGTCTGATGGTTCCAGCATCGCTGCTAGACCCAAAAGCTTTTGTCAGGGTTTCGGCTTGTTCAGGTGGCATTTCAGGGGATGGGTCTTGTTCAGTAGAAATAGGTTCACTCTTCCGCTCAATATTCTGGCCCTAAACCAAGAGAAGGACCCTGCATATAGTACAGCAAGCCAGGAGAAACAGTTAAGCTACTCATGTCCACATCTCAACATGCTAAATGACTCATGAGTTTAGGGAATGTGGGTCAAGGTTTTGTGCCATTCATAGAATCATAGAGTTGGAAGATCCAGTCCAACCCCTTTCCAAGAAGAAAGAAAATTGCATTCAAAACACCCCTGATAGATGGACATCCAGCCCCTATTTAAAAGCCTCCAAAGAAGGAGCCTCCACCACACTCTGGGGCAGAGAGTTCCACTGCTGAACAGCTCTCAGAGTTAGGAAGTTCTTCCTAATGTTCAGGTGAAATCTCCTTTCCTGTAGTTAGAAACCATTGTTCCACGTCCTAGTCTCCAGGGCAGCAGAAAAAAAGCTTGCTCCCTCCTCCCTATGACTTCCCCTCACATTTTCCCCTTATGTCTCCTCTCAGCCTTCTCTTCTGAAGGCTAAACATGCCCAGCTCTTTAAGCCGCTCCTCATAGGGCTAGTTCTCCAGACCCTTGATAATTTTAGTCACCCTCCTCAGGACACATTCCAGTTTGTCAATATCTCCTTAAACTGCAGTGCCCAGAATTGGGCACAATACTCCATGTGTGGTCTGACCAAGGCAGAATAGAGGGGTAGCATGACTTCCCTGGATCTAGACACTATACTCCTTTTAATGCAGGCCAAAATCCCATTGGCTTTTTAAACTGCCACATGATATTGTTGGCTCATGGTTAACTTGCAGTCCACAAGGACTCCAAGATCTTTTCCACATGTACTGCTGTTGAGCTAGGTGTCCCCCATTCTGTACCTTTGCATTTCATTTTTTCTGCCTAAGTGGAGAATCTTGCATTTGTCCCTGTTGATTTTTTTTTTAAGTTTTGGCCCATCATCTCTCTAATCTGTTAAGATTGTTTTGAATTCTGCTCCTGTCTTTTGGAGTATTGGCTATCCTTCCCAATTTGGTGTCATCTGCAAACTTGACGATCATGCCTTCTAGCCTTTCACCTAAGTAATTAATAAGGATGTTGAACAGGACCGGGCCCAGGACGGAACCCTGCTTATGACACTCCACTCGTCACTTCTTTCCAGGATGCATTGGTGAGCACCCTTTGGGTTTGTTCACTTAACCAATTACAATTTGCCTAGCCCACATTTGTTTGCCAGAAAGTCATGAGAGACCTTTTTCAAAAGTCCCTCACCAAAACCATAAAGATACCTGATAAGGGAATAAAATAAACTGGACACTTTACAGAGTAATAATTAAGATACAGGAAAGTTCCT